CTCTGCTTACCACCTACTTTAATGCTTGTTTCTCGTTCGGCTTATTCTTTGACTCTTAAGATGGAGATCATATGGTCCTCTGAAACGTCGGTTGACTTCCAACGGACTACAGGGCGTTATATCCCAGAAGATAGTTCTGTTTATCAGTATCTCAATTGGTCATTGTATTCAAGATTTGGCTTTGAGTGAGACAGTGACTAATATTTTACCGTATTTACGCATGTATAGGCCGCACATTTTTTGCCAAAAATTCAAGAGGAAAACTGGGGTGCGGCTTATATTCGAAATATTCGAACTCACACTTCATTTAAAAAAATTATATTCATAATTAGTAATGCAGGGTGTAATACTCCTGAAATAATGTTCCAAGAAATTTTTTTTTCTATAATTTCTGTCTGAAAATTGTGTTGCGGCCTATACATGCGTAAGTACAGTATAAGAAAAGTTGAGAGAACAAAAATGCAGACTCACTCATCAGAATCCATGTTACTACACCAGTTTCGAAAACGAAGGTAACAAAGCAAGAGCCAGCCAGGAAGATAAGGCGAGTGTTCTCAGAGAAATGCATGAAATCCCGACAGACGGTCATTTAGGAATGAATAGGATATATGAAAGAATAAAGCTGTTTGTATCTTGGCCAGGTATGAAACGAGAAATCGAGGATTACGTAAAATGTTGTGAAATTTGTCAGAAAAAACGATTGGGGAAACTTGGTTCCGTGGATTAACATGGTTAAACAGATTTAAGTTAGGATTTTTATTTGAATAAATGTTCTTTGTACATTAAATTTGAAAATTTATTGAAATATTATACTGAAAATTCATTTATTGAAATTACCCAAAACATTCAGTTTGTAGTTACGTGGGCGAGTGGGTTGAGGAGCTTGCTGATTGATTTTGCTCAAGGTTGGTCCATGATAGCTAAAGTAGGAAACGTAGTTCATGCAGGATCAATTGTCCACATATCTTCCAGAGAAACCGAAATAGCGAAGTCGACGTAAACGTCCATTACCATTACGGCTGGGTAAATAATATTCCCACAATGAAGTCATCCATCGCTAAGTAACGGTTGGCTAAACGCTCCCAAACTCCAACGAATAGCCCCGAACACGCATTTCTGTGATAACAATTCACTAAGCTGATATGGTTAGCACGGTAATTACAATGATTCCCGGCGCGAGGCGATCTCGAAAGATCAGAATGGAATCATACGGAAAGGGGGGGGGGTGGAGTGCCTAGTATCACGGCTGCCTAACAAACATATGTTTCCCACAGTGAAGTCACCCATCACACGACCCACCTTCAGAGGCATCAGGCCGCATGAGCTGATGTTCGGCAGGAAGCCGAATATACCTGGCGCATTATAGAAGGGAGCCCCAGACATGCCTTATACGTATGATAAGTACATAAGGGAACTGCAGTCTAGGCTCAGTCCAGTTACGAATTAGCTAAGAGCAAACTGATAGCTACGATGGAACGAACTAAGGAACAGCAAGACAAAACTGTAAACATTCCTTTGTTTTCAGTTTTGGACAAATAAAGTCTTACTTCAAGAGGAAAGGGTTAGGAGAGTTAAGTCACTGAAACTCTCACCCCCTTGGATAGGACCTTACGAAGTAGTAGACGTCTATGACGTAAATATTACATTAATATTTCCAAGGAACAAGAGCAATACTATCAAGGTAAATGGCAACAGACTAACACTGTTATTTGGCTGATTTCAGGGCCATGCCTGCCTGACTGTGGACCCTCTGCAGCACACTCTTGTTAAACAGACAGCTTCTGTCGACGTCACCATAGAAAAGTACACTGAATCCCTAGGCCTGTATTACGACGCAGGTTCCGCACAGCTGTAGAACACGGAATGGAAAAGTTCACGTATGTAAATCTGGAAGAGGGTAATAAAAATTTGGAAATGGTAAAGAAGTATGCTAGTTTATAGATACATTTTTGCAAGGACCACGACCACGTGTTCTGGATCAATTTCTCTGTATATGAAAAGCATGAGGTATTTGGATAGACAGGTTGAGGAAGTAGAAAGCTTGAAACTACTTGTAAAATAGTTAACCAGAATCGAGGAAGAAGCAATTCATTTGCGTTTTAACTCTATTGGTGGAATTAGCAAAATCTTGTTTCTTACTATGGACAGTGATAATGCATCATATTACAGAGACAAAATTTCGAACTTAGAGAGGGAACAGGCTATTTTTTTTAAACTTTCCGAAGAACAGATAGCAGTGGTAAAATCGACTTTAAGATCTATGAATACATTACGTGACGTATATGCGAACGAGAGGATACTAACAAACAGGGTGGAGAACACGGCCTGACACGTTACTGAACACGATGGTGAGATAAAGGGAATGTTTACTTCTACTTCCATGCTGCTTGCGCTAAATGAGCATTCGGCACAAGTACATAGAGCTTTTGGGCGAATGTAGACGGGATTACGAATTTTTTAACTGGAGCCCTTATAAAGGATCAGAAGTGCATACTCCAGCCACATGTCAATACATAGCGCCGTTCATGAATCAGATGACATAAATCAAGCTGATATCTCGAGTGACTTATTTCCAATACCGTTGAGTGCAGCCTAATATAACTTAGTTTGAGAATTAGTGAAGTTGATGTATTTTTGAAGGGGAATTATCTTGTTTATGTGATTAGATAATATAGGGAATACTGAGTTTAAATTTACATTTACATGGCCAAAACCTGTCTATTTGTTAATGAATATAGCTAAGCAGTTTTATGCTAGGTTAAGGGTAGACGAATTTAAGGAGCGTAAACTGATAACAGCCATCAACTGTGCAAACAAAATTACCTTGTACAAATAAAGCATTTACACGAAGAGCGTGAGGCCTAATTGCTTCATCCCATTAGAAGCGTACCTAGCAGTTGTTCTCAGAGAATACTTGTAGTAGTACTAAACCAAACACTACGGGACCAGTTAAATACTGTGTTGCTCCACGACTGGATACACTCACTGTGCTGTGTTCGGGACAGGAACCTACGGATGTTGAAATACAAGGCACAGGAAAGATCAAGTTGCACAGCATGTGAAAGGGCTGAGGGACCAAGGTTCCCATTCAGGCCCAGGTAACCATAACCTCCAACAATACAGGCAAGGACATTATTTCGCCCCTGTCCCTTCAATGTAACTGTTTCTTGCCTGAAGAAAGAAATAATAAAGCCAACAAAATTCATTTGGATTTACCGATAAAAGAAGTGGTCAGTCATCTTGATGACTTAAAATTATAAAGTGACAGTAGAGGAAGGAGAGAAACCCATATCTGAGCAAGAACTAAAACTGAAACACTGCAAAATAGATTATCATATGTCCTCTCTTATAAGTAGGAACGATTACTAGGATGTACACGTTTAATTTTGTTACTGCTGCTGCAGATGTTTCCCTAGATGCCCTAAAGTTAAGTTGACAAAGTTGAAAAGCTACCCATATAAGCCAAATACCCACAACGTGTGGAGCAGCAAACCAACTACCCACAACGTGTGGAGCAGCAAGCCAACTACCCACAACGTGTGGAGCAGCAAGCCAACTACCCACAACGTGTGGAGCAGCAAGCCAACTACCCACAACGTGTGGAGCAGCAAGCCAACTACCCACAACGTGTGGAGCAGCAAGCCAACTACCCACAACGTGTGGAGCAGCAAGCCAACTACCCACAACGTGTGGAGCAGCAAGCCAACTACCCACAACGTGTGGAGCAGCAAGCCAACTACCCACAACGTGTGGTACAACTTGGGCTACAGGTAATGTATAAGAAGAGTGTAAAACTTCATAAGGTCATCTCACCGGAAGGTTTACCATTTCGTAAGAAAGTGGCATAAAACACGTGACGGATCAAGGAGTCAAACCAGTGCTCAGTTTAGTTGTGAGGATGAACATTTTCCTTCGTAAAATATTTTGAGCAGCTAATGACTGCTGGTTCCAGCTAAGTAAATTAAGAAGGAACAATAACCTATACTTAGGTTTGAGTTTGGTGTGGTTTTGAAATTTATTATAGTATTTCCTGTAAGTGTAAAACCG